TCGAAATCTGTGGTTGAGAGTTGAAAAGGAGACGATGGAGATGGACTGGGGATTTGAGTCGGATGAGGTTTCTCGAAGAGGAAATCACCGTTCTTGAGGAGTTGGGGAAGGTTTCAACTATCCAGGTTATGCAAAACTTACGAGTATGAAATCATTTCCGAGTCCATGATACTTGACGAAGTGAAGAACACCACTTTCTCTACGATCGAGAAACAAATCGAGAGAAAATTTCTCAGGAGCCTGAATGTCCATTGAAGCAAAAATGCTGGAATTAGATTTCTGAGTAGTGGAAATTGGAAGCATTTGGTGAATTTCTGATTGAAGGCAAAACAAAGAAGAGAATCGAGAGGCATTGAAAGAAGAATATGAAAAGGAGCGACGATTAATGGTGGCGAACGGCAGCGGCTATTGCTATTGGTATTGTCAAATTGAAGGAAATGGAGACTGTTGAAGCCAAACGGGATTTATAAGAAAAGAACGTATTTTATACTCTTTATTTATAAAGCATTCTATTTTTCAATTTTTTTTAATTTTTGGACAGTAATGGGCCTAATTTATACAGTGGACGAAACATTACAGAGTAAGTCTTAATGCATGGATAAGGTCCAGAACCACTGATTTATGTTGTATCCAGTGACTACCGCAGAAAATGATTTCAGAGCCTTGAGTATTTAGGATTAGGACATGACTAGAGGAGCTCTTTTAGCGTTAATGTAAGTGGCTCTTTTACTTTCCAAACAGTGATTTTTGGCGAGTTTAGTTGTAAAATTAAAATAAAATCTTTGCACCAATATCAGGGTGCCCTGAGATTTTGGGGCCTTGTACCAATTTCAAACATGGGGCTAATATTTAAAATTGGCACAAGGCCCTGAAATCTAAGGACCAGCCCTAAGCCGCTAGTGTCCTTTTTTCATTTTCAGTGATTAGACTTAATATGCGACATCTTGAAAGTTTGATTCAGTGAAAAATGAAAGTTAAAGGGGTATGTATCGAATCAGGGGAACCCAATGCTTGCTCTTGGGGAGTCGGTTTCTTTTGGGAGGTATGTCGGAATCCTTATCGTGGGAAAAATGATTGACCTTTTCTCACAAGAAATACGTTGAAGAGGCCGAGAGGTATTCACAGCCAGGATCAGTAGCCCAGAAGAAGGCTTTTTTCGAGGCTCGTTACAAGAGAATTGCAGCTCAAAAGGCGGCAGCACTGTAGGAACAATAAAATTCTGTTGATGAACAAAAGATCTCGTAAAGTCCGTGTTATACGAGAATATCTTCAACTGTACTCGCCAAATGTAAAATTATTCTTCCCTTCCAAACGCTCCAACCAGGATGGATCCAGAATCGGACTTCAAGCCAGGCTAATATGTAGAGAAAAATTAATTTACACATAAAAATGAATCAAAAGGAAATTTAATAATTAAACGTGGTTAGACGAACCACATACAACCACGGAAGAAGAGACTTTGCTCCTATTTGATTTAGCTAAAAATCAACTTTTTATTAGATCCCTACTCTCTTAAAAGAGAGGATTTGAGATTCACTGTTCATTCGTGATTTTCCCTCACAGATCACTGTTGTATGTGCAGACAAAAATTCCAATTAGCCTTCCAGCAGAATTTATTGACTTTGGAGTACTTCAATTGCCCATACTCTTTTTATATAGTCGGTTGAAAAAAGAATTGATCTTTTTATAGTCGGTTCTCACTTTTAAAATCCGTTTGTATTGGTTATTCCATTCTGTCATCGTCCTCTCCAACTTCTACAAT